TCTGTATATCTATCTATCCATCCATCCATCCATCCTAACAGTCACCAAGCTGCAGTATGTCGGATGCCTTGTCTTGTCTTGTCTCTTCTATTGTTCCTGTACTCTCAGCATAGAACAATAAATAGCGTGTTAGATATATTCATTATTATATCCTACCATGATTGATGACAGTACATTTCAGTAGTCATCGTTCCCTCAAATTAACAGTGTATTGATCTATAAAGCACGTCAGCTTTGTGAAATTAGGTGTGAGGATAACTTAGCATATTGTATGACTGGTTAGTAAACCAGCAGGAGAGCGTTGTGTGTCAGATATATAATTCAGATAAATGGATGGTTTCTGTTTCTCGCTCTCTCTCTCTCTCCGTCTTGTCTCTGAGGCTGGCAGAAGAGTGTGGGCGGCCATACCAGCTGGGATCAGAGGGATGGAGAGGATTGTTAGCTCACTCTGCCTCTAATGAATGTATAACACCTCCTAGTGTAAAACAGCCCAAGATGCTTACACTGTTTTATTTTCACGCTATTAGTAGAATTTGAAAGTCAGCAATCGTTGTTTTATGACCATCTGGCTTTTACATAGTATTTCTATGTCCGTCATCTGTTTTTGTTTGTGGAGTTTGTTGTCGTAACACTGAAACTTGTGAATTTTTAAGATGCTCACTGCATGTGGTCGTCACTTTGTGGTTTCACAATTCATATCTGACAGACTGTGTAACTCATCAGTTTCACTTGTGTCAAAACTGTCGAACTTTAAATCAATGAAATAGTCTACATATTTAGTTTCAGTTACTTTCGTGGATTCTTCCGGCTGTGCTCGGTGAATGTTATCGTGAGCACGGTAGGTCAGCAGCCTTAATGGGACTGAAAAGATGGAACACATGCTGTCATGTTTGTAGGAGGTCTCTCTTTCCCTCCCTCCCTCTTTCTCTCTTTCCTCTCTCTCTGACTGTATTTCTCTCTCTCACTCTGTGCGTGAGCGGGTGTTACTGAACATATACAGTGATTGTTAGTAAGAGCCAGTGAGGCATCTGTATTATACTGGAGACTCATTTAAAGAGAGCTTTGCTTGGTCCACATAGAAATCGAAGCATACAAGTCATACTTAGGTCAACTCACCTGAAGACTGAAATCATCTCTGAGAGTAAGACATGGACTGTCACAATGTAAGTAGAAGCTTCAGATTAACTTTATGATGATCCTTTGTTTTTTAACCACTAATCAGTTTGGTTAATTGGGTACTGCAGTTTAGTTGCTGATTGTATTTACGAGCGTTTGTTTGCCCTTAAACGGCATACTGCCATGTGTGTTTATTTTTCTTCTTTCAAATATGTTATGTTCACCATTTGAATAATTGTGTTTTTAAGTTTTTCACAGATTTGACCACATAAAGTTGTATTTTAAACAGTTTCCAAACTTTTATCATCATAAGTGGATAATATTACATGAGATTCGCCTCAGAATATTTCAAATCAGTTTGTGTCAGGACCCTAAGGACCCTGAGGAGATTAAAAATGATAAGACCCCCGACAAGGTGTGTAGCCAGCAAAATGCAGTGCAGCAAACCTGCATCTCTGCTGCTGCTACACAAAAGCTGGATTCTGGCTGCTCAGTGAGCAGTCAGACAGAGAGGCTAATGAATGCTGGCTGAACAGGTGGGTGGTCAAACTCCTACACTGGAGGGGTTTCACTGGAGACATGATGCACTGCAGGCAGTGGGATGACAGTAGGCTCCTTCTGTGGGTTGCCTTTGTGTGAAATGCCAATCTGTTTCTAACAGCAAAGCATGGTGTGTAACTGAAATGTGTTCGCCATAGAATTTGAATTGGTGCTTGCATAACTTGTCAACAGCCTTGGCGCTATTTCGCTGACACTTCATGACAAGCCAGAATTTCTCTTCCGCCCACCCCATGTTTCCTTTAGGATATTAGATGCTGTTCTTTCAGTCGCTGAGTGAGCTGCTGGTGTTGACTACAGCAGCATTTTCGCTGGCTCATCCTTTTTCGGCAAATAAGAAGTATTAGCATTAAATAACTCGTAAAAATTAAGCTATCATTTCCACCAGTCTTGTTTTTTACTATTTACAAATTGCATTATTTTGTGTGACACACAATGATCAATGATCTTATAATGATTGACTGTAGACAAAGACAGCAGATAATGATTCATTACGAAATAGGCTGACTCAAACATCAATTTATTATATGACAAGAGGAGAAAGGGAGAGAGGCAATGTGGGTTAGTGACCTCCCGAGAGCCCTGTTGAAGTCATGTAATAGGGTGAGCCACTTGGCAACAAGCACACATCCCTTCACTGTCTAAAAGATAGTGCTGCAGTGTATACAGTTAACATAACACGGTATCGCAATCTGTTGAGGGATATATTCTTCCACCAATGTTCCAGAAAAAAACAAAACCTCATATGATCATGTAATGTGCCACCCTGCTGTGACAGACTACTACTTCCTGGTCCTCTCTGCAGGACGAGTGCAGCCGGCCCCAGGAGGAGGAGGACATCATGGACATCCCCCTGGATGACCCCGAGGCCAACAGGGCTGCTGCAAAGATCCAGGCCGGTTTCCGTGGGCACATGACCCGTAAGAAGATGAAGCCGGAGGACAAAGCGGAAGCGGAGGAGGTGAGCAGTGCTGGGGATGTGCTCAACAGCAGCAAGGGGGACGCAGGTCAGTGGGGTAGAACCATGGGATCAGACTAGGTCACATAATGTCGTGAAAGAGGGCATTATGGCTAGTGACTGTAAGGACGATAACAGAGGCTCGCATCAGGAGCTGTAACTACAGTAGGTGACGAAAGGTAAGTAAGGGAGAGCATAAGTTGCTCGTTTGACTATAAACAGAGTTAGAGTTAAAACAATTTAAGATCATATCAGCAAAATAGGATAGCATAGTATGTTCTGCATGTTGTTGGTTGAGCATTAGACCTCTTCAGGTGTCCCATTTTAATGTTCGGGGAAAAATGTTGTGACTATAAGCTTTTCTCAGAGCCAAACGCATCATGCAAGAACATTAAATAATTAACCATCATACACACTGGAGAAGAAACCACTTAAAAGCTATAAATAATCAAACACACCCATGAGAGCCCCTTATGGGTTATCCTACATGTGATTAATGCGATACATAAGTGTATGACTCATTTACTTACCACATAGGGTCTCCAGCAGCAGACGATTGAATCTTTCAATTAGTTATCCGGTTATTAATAGATCTGCTTGTGCGTGTGCTGTTAAATCGCTAGAGAAAAAAGACGCTTGTCAGAGTTCAGTTGACCTGGAAAATTACATTCTGTCGATAAACATGTTTTCCTAGTTTGTATTTTATGCAACTGTGAACAAGAACATGGTTTCAGAATTCAGTTTTTAGTCCAAAAATGATTTGCTGTTTTCCCCCGAGGGCGTCTACTGTTTCCACACAAGCAAAAGTTGCACTTTGATTAGATTTTATGTTTTATTTTTTCCTCTGAGAAGGAGAAAAGGAACAGGTTCACCAGATAGTTTCTTTTGAGAAGTAGGCAGAGCTTTAGTTCCCCAGCCCTCAAACGTTCACCTTTTGCTCTAAGACAAAGCAGCATTTTCTTTGGGGATGTGGCTGACACAAGGGATGCTCGTCAGTGATTCTCCCTAACCCAGTTGTTGGCTGCCTTGCGTCCTTTGTAGGAGATGTATTTATACCTCCAGGTGCATTAGGTACAGTATATGCTTCAGGGAGCCAAGCAAAATGAATGGACCTGTCAGACTGGTACCATGCATTCCCTCCCGTTGGGGGAGAACCCTTTTTTCTCAACATAATTGGGTTTTTTGAGCTTAGGTCATGTCAGCATTGCAAAATACTTTAAAAGTTCAGTTTCATCTCCTTTGAGAATTCATTTTCCTTAAGTAGCAACTCAATATAAAGTTTTCTTCAAGTGTGTTTTTTATATTAGATCCACCCACAACCTTACAGTTTGTGGCTATTCACTGGAGTCTCTAACCCTGACGATAAGAGCGTACACAGAAACTGTTCTTTCCAGGCTACGCACTGTTTAACTGCGCCTTGCCTGTTTCTGTTTTTAGAGACAGGAGGATCGGGGGCAGTAGAGAGAGACGACAGATCCGTGCCAGAGCAGTAACGCCCCTGTTCTGACCTGGATGAAGAGAAAGAGGCGAAGCAAGGTAGAGTGACGGATGGCTGGCGTAAGCCGGCTGGGCTGGCTTTCAGGCACACCTTTTTACCCCCGAAGTCATCTTCTTTTTCAACACACATTAGCAGTAGAAAATGAACCGACAGTTTTGAGGGTGTGTTGTGTGAATTTTGTGAACTTTTACACTCCTTCTCTGCTTCTTCAGCAATCTCATCAGTACGGATGTCTTTGACCCAGAATGTGCAACTCACTGCATGTACTTGTGAAACTTCTGGTAGTGTGCTAGTTTTTAGATGATGATCTGTGAATATGAAAATGAATTTCCTCTTTTTGGATGGATCACTTCGTACCATCTGTGTATAAACCTTGTATGCATCAGAATTAGACTTTGCGTATTTAGTGGCTTAAATTATTTGTTGTTTTGGATTGTTTGCAATGTGCTTGTATCTTGACTATCATTTACCTATTTGACGTGCTTACAAAAATGATTAAAACATCAAAAGAGAAGTTGCTATGTATGTTCTATTTATTCTAAGTTACGTTATTCAGATTGCAGTTGCTTTGATTTTCTTTTTCTAAGGATAAGAAGGTTCTCCTTTCACCTGTTCAAGCATTTTCTATAAATCTGATCTTCCAGAACAGTAAGCATGCAGTAATTACACTTTTTTTCCAGACGCATTTGGTATAGCTTTACTTTATGAGACATTGCTTCATATGCTCTTTTGACTGTGTGAAACTCCCATATCAAAGTCTGACGAGCCGTCGGTCTTTAAAACTAATTTAATAGTACCTTGCTGAACTTTGCTGTGGAGTCATGTCATTACACAAATAAATCCACCTTAAATATACGGTGAAATGTCTGTTTTAAACTTCATTAATTCAGGTTCAGTATTTGTTTGAAACAGTACCTTTTATGTAATATGTCACCTCCATCTCTATTCTTCAACAGTAAAGTTGAGATTTGTGTTCATTACAGCAGCCAAAGCGTCTCACTTTTCATTTGTCACTGCAACATAAGCAGCGCTGCTAATTGGAGAGAGCAGTTTCCATGAAGCAGAAGTAATGTTTTGTCTCATGTTTGGCTCTCTAGCACAAGGAATCTTGTGAATAATTCAGAACATAAAACTGCATTACTCACTATACAACTGTCAATTACACTAGACAAATTAATTCGTTTTTTTTACTCACAATAATAGCTATTAGACAGAGCCATTTAAATAATTACATTGTTTGTCGTTGCAGAGCTTGGATGCATTAAGATATAAAATGTTTCCTTCCTATCAACAAGTGCATTGTTCTAAACAGCTACACCACTGAGTGATGTGTGCAACTGTTCGGTGTTTTTAATATGTTTGCTTCATTTGGCCAGGCAGTCTTGCTCACTTGATGAGAAACAGACAAGAGCATCTTCAGTCACCCAGTGCTCCCACTCAGCCCACCTACACACATCTGAGCCATACAGCACTCAGCAGAAACTCAAACTGCACATGCATTCTCACACAGGAAAAGCACAACCCATACTTTAGTATGCAGATCCCACTCAAGTCACTCATAAGCTCTCTCGTGCACAAACACACACAGACACAAACACAGGCGTTGTTGATTGTGTCACAAGCTGTCGACAACTAGCATGAGTCCCTCTCTCAGTGGTTTTGCAAAAAGCCACTTCCTTCTCAGCCTGACATTTCTCCTCCGCCATGCTCTCGTAAACATCCTCTATGGGTTTTACACAGACCGATTCTCTCTTTTCTCCTACTCAGTCCCAGAGGTGCCATGGCCACGTTCTCCTGTCTCTTTAATGACTGGGGGGTGAACAATCAATAATGTGCACACCTCCAAACATAGCGCAACACCCACTTTGTGCTTTAAATTGAATTCTGAGGGTGAAGGCGAAGACAGGTATCCAGAAAGAAATACATGAAAATCCTATACTTGGTCAGGGTCTTAATGGATCCTCATGTGAGTCATGTGAAGCGAGTGTGAGTTTGTAAAGCGCATGGTATAGCCTTAAACTTGCCACGGTGAAGCAGATAATAATAATAGTTCTGTCCCATTTACAGCGTGTTAAGCTGTACATGGACTATTTTAAGAGTAGATCATGGGAAAGATCTGCTTGGTTGGTTTGTGCTCTTTCTCAGACAGCTTGTCAGAGAGAAAAGATCTTTCTGGTCCCCTGGGTGATAATTAGAGATGAATAAGCCACGGCAAACAGCAGGGGGCGCTGCTTTCCAGGGGTTATGCGACTGGCATCGCCATCTTAAGAGACACACTATCATTAATACCAATAGGTTACACAACTTAGAGACAGCGTTAATGCCACAGCTGCATAAACTGATGTATTACCACCAATTAGAAGTCATGGTCAAAAGATGTGATATTATGGTGCTTCAAATTGTAAAGATACATTTTGTCAAATCTCTATGTCTGGGTCACACAGGATGACATCAGTCTTGTTGGACTAAACGTGATGGCGAATGGTTTCTGTCGTAACACGAGCACCCAAATACCCTGAGACAAACAGGCCCCTTCTGTGCTCGCGCTCTCTGTATTGAGCGGAAAGAGTCCTCCTTGATTTAAAGTGTGTTAGAAGATGAGAGGAAGAGGGAGGTGCTGCTCTTACCGAGGGCAGAGGTGGAGGGGAGAGGTTCGGCTTTGATGGCCCACTACACAGAAGTCCGAGGCTTGGGAGAGTGGTGGTGAACAGCATCTGTTCCCACATTCCTGCAGCTTTCTCTCTACCATGCTTCCTCCTCTGCATAAAACCTCCCTTTGTTGTCAAACAAAATACAAAAGAAAAGCAAACTCTAGACAAAAGACTGCTTTTCTTAGGTAGGAGAGATGATTTATTATGCAATTAAGTCAACAATGCATGTAAGCCTTAATCTCCAAAAAACTGTGGAAAATGACTGTGGGGGATTTTTTTACATGACATCATGTCTGAAGGCAACACTCCAGTTTACAATAAATTAGAACTAGAAGTTAGATTGGTGGTCCGGAGTTAATTCAAACCAATTTTGACTTGTACTGAGAAGCTGCTTTTCATTGTCATAAAGCACCTGATGTATTGCATGCCATAACTTTGATGTCAAAACATGGCCGACACCGTTGATGGCAGTTTTTCTGAAAGCATTGCCTCCTTCAGTTCGCTGGCTGAATGTAGCACTTGTACCACCTAGAGGACAAAGTAGAAACAAAAACATCTTTTCATTGGTTTCCTTTATTTCTTCTTTTCATTATTATGTAGCTCTCACCTCCAGCACTATGGATCCTACACCTGACGGGCACTGTAGCAACTATCAGCAAAATGCTTCAAGGCTGCGTGTGCTTGTGTGTGGGTCAACTGCAGGGTTGGTTGCCCACTGACAAATTGTGAGTTTATTGTGAGGCTCCAGTCCAGACAGGAGTTTGCACAATGTGACAAAAGTGGGCCAAAGAGGGGGGAAGTGGGTTGTTTTTCAAACTCAGACATTTCAGAGCTTTAAGTGGGCTCCTCTCAGAGCTGAAGTACAGTAGTTCTCCCCAGCAGGAATTCTTGCAAAGTAGCTGAACTCAATATTGAATTTAACCCCTTAATGGTTGACTTACTATGTAATAAAAAAAAAACACTTATTTTGTTACACGAAGCTTTAGAAAAATAAAAGATAAATAACTGCATAAAAAAGCAAACACTATTTCTTTTGAGCTCCTTTCTGAAAGGGCAGCGTGGAGTAGAAGAGAGGAGTTTATCTACACGATGTCTCTGTCTCACACAAACACACACACACACACACACACACACACACACACACACAGTTGGCTGTTGTTGGCTGTGACTGGGGTGCTGTGAGGAGAGTGGGGCTCAGTGGGACCAGGCAGAGGCCAGCGTTGCAGGCAGGCAGGCAGGCAGGCAGGCAGGCAGTGGATAGAGTGTTGAGCCTCAGAGACGTGCCCAGGGTGGATAAACTATGCTCACTAAGTGGGAGAAAGACTCTGCCCAGGACACAAGATGAAGGTGGAGAGGAAGACCTCCTCTACAGGCGACAGTTTTACTGACATTCCTCCGCTACTGACGCTCGTTGGCCTCCTCCTCCTTCTCTTCACAGGTAAACTCAAACATTTGTTAGGCTGTCCAGAGATTAGAGGGTAAAAAAATCTCCCTGGCACTCCGCTGTCTTTCAGATGATAACAAATCAAATGCATTTAAATCAACTTGTTATATTCTGAAAGAAAAACCTGACTGGGCTCAGTAATTGTCATTTAAATGAAATTCTTTTAGAATTGTCCTATTTTACAGTCTTTTGGTTACTTTCATTGTGTCAAGATCAAAACTCAAATGCTTGCTTTATTTGAAGTGAAGTTAATCCAGGTTAAGTTAGTCACAATTATTTTTTTCTTGTCCTTGTGTTCCATGGATTGGCAACACAATGGATTTGTTCATGGGTGGTGCTCGCTATCGGGCCCCCATCCCGTGCTCAAAGGAGCCTGGAGTGTCCATTGTAAGTGTGTAAGAAGGGGACGTGTAGGTTAAGTGTGATGATATCACGTTTTGTGCAGCGCTAGGGCATGGGTCGGCTTCTTTTGAGTGTGGGAAGCGTTGGAGGAGTCCGTTTGAGGGGTGAAGCGATGGCAGAAGTTTAGCATGTGGTGATTTAGGTTTAAAAATGTGGTGATTTAATTTAAAGACCATACCATGTACACAGTTTACCCAACCAGGTCAGTTATGGTAGAATCACTGGATCCAGTGTCTATCTCCAACTTCACCAGTGACAAAGACTCACTCTCTTTCTCTCCCTCTCTGGCGCTCTCTCGCTCTTTTCAACGGAGGAAACTAGTTCCAACAATCGTGCCCTTTGTCTTATCGCCTTGACAACCCCTGTCAGGCGGACCAAATGGTTACCACGGCAATGAGGCGATGCCCTGCTAACTGCCTCACTGTGAAGAATAGTGAACAGTGCAGACTCTCTGTCTCCTCCCTCTCTTCCAGGTTGATCTTTCCATCACTGAGGCCTAACAGTGGGATGCCCCTCGCAGGCCCGCAGCCAATGTTTAGACCTCCGTGTGTCCGGCCACAGCTGAGTTATAGGAACCTCCGCTGTGAACATAATAGATTTGCAGCGCTTGGTTTCCAAGACAGTGCTCTTTTATAAAAGATGAAATGTGGCTCACACTGTAATACCTTATCCCTGTACCCCTATGGGAGGTGGAGGATAATTGGGGAACACAAATCAAAATTAGAGTATTAGTTGTTCACTATGAGGGGGCGTGAGGAATTCCTGGGGGGAGTTTCTGGGAAACAGATCAGTGATTAGTGAAAAGCAACGTGTGTGCACATTCAAGTCTGCAACCAAGAAGAAAACATTTTGGCCAAAGGTCTGAAGAATGATGGCCCTTTGTTACAGCGTCAAGGTACAAAGTCTGAATTGTATTAAATGTTTTGTTGCTTACATCCAACAAGTACTTTTTGCAGTTATGGATGTAATACCCATGAAATAAGTTGTTTCATTCCAATAGTTTGTAGAGAAAAATGTTCACCTAATGACACCTAATAAACCATTCAAAGCAGTAGCATGGAATGTAAAAATGGTTAAAAAGTGGATTCTACATAGAAAGTGATATTTAATATTAAGTTTTCAGCAGTGGTGGAAAAATTCCTGAAAAAGCAGTGTTTCAGTGGACTGTTATGACTCTTCTTTTTTTCATTTCAATGCAGGTTGAAAGCAAGTGTTCATTTAAAATTTGATTTAAAAATGTGATGCTTACATTGGACCTCAGTGTGCAGAGTTTTCCACACTGTATGTTTTAGATCCTCTTGCATCTTTGCATTGTGTCGTGAGTGTGATGATTTTGTCAAAAAATGACCAGTAAAGTAAATCAGCAATTAACAATAAAATAAGATTTACTTGTAACATCATGTATGCATCAGCATGTAAGACGTATTTTGATGCTTTAAGTGGTTTGACTTTTTTGGCTTGTACAAAATGTTTTGCAGATAAAGCCAAAACTGGAAACGAACAAGTGACTACAGAAAACAAATAGCTGGAGTAAAAAGTACAGACTTTAATACATTCTGCAATACAACAGTGGTGGAAGCTATTAAGTCTAAATATTAGGAGTTAAGTTCCTTAATGTTGTACTTACACTGCGTAAATGTTCTTTGTTATTGTACAGGGTCATTGTATCCATGCTTCTTTGCTGCTCAGATTCATTTATGGCTGCTCTTATAGTAATAGTAGTAATTAATGTGTCCTCTGCTGTTTAACTCCAGTGATTTGTCTGATCTTTGCTCGCTGGTGCTCTGTGTCCCCAAACAACCCCTTATTTCTTCTCATTTCAAGACCTCACTACCGTCTCTTTGCCTTTTTGTCCAGGTGAGGTGTCAGGGGTGAATGTGACCAGCCAAACCCAGGTGGTGAGGGGCACGGTGGGCAGAGAGGCCCTCTTGTCAGTCAGCTACTCCAGCAGCAGCTTGGACAAGCCTGTGATTAAGTGGCAGCTAAAGAGGGACAAAGAGAAACCTATCACTGTTGTGCAGTCCATAGGAACAGACATCATAGGGAACCTGAGGCCAGAGTACCGCAACCGTATCCTGGTGTTTGAGAATGGGTCACTGCTGCTTCACAACCTGCAGCTGTCCGACGAAGGGGCGTACGAAGTCGAGATCTCCATCACAGATGACACCTTCACTGGAGAGCGCTACATTGAGCTCACTGTGGATGGTATGCAGAATGACCTTCCTTTTAAAGAGCCGATAGCTCACACATAGCTCAATAAAGGAGAGGAGTTGTGAGCTTATGAGAATATCAATGCAATATCAACCTTATCTTTCCCTAGAGAGTGTAATTGCAATACAGGAGTTTAGTTATTCCAATCACGATATAGAGTGATTCACAGTGTTAGTGTTCTTTTTAGGATTCATCGTATCATGATGCTGTATAGCTAGAGGTCAACCACTCTCTCATGTCTTTGAATATTCAATCCCAAGCCCTGCTGTGTCTTTGTCCTGTCACCCTCCTCAGTCCCCGTGTCCAAACCTTACATCCAGATGATGGCCTCGTCTGTCCTGGAGTACAGCGAGCACTTTAACCTCCACTGTTCCCACGATAACGGCACAAAGCCCATCTACGGTTGGCTGAAGGGAGGCCAGGTGCTGACCAATGACACACGTCTGCAGCTTTCACTTGACCAAAAGGTGCTGACCATCTCACGCGTTGTGATCTCAGACGATGACATTTACGCCTGCACAGTGGAGAACCTCATCAGCAGCATGAAGAGCATGCCTGTCAAGCTCACTGTCTACAGTAGGTGGCATGTTACACCGGTAGGATCTCAAGTTTTACAAGTTTACATCAGAGATGAAGAGATGACGGTAAAGTGACATCGGATGGGTTTTCTAGCAGAGGTGGAAAAAATAATTCCAATCCTTTACTTTAGTAAAGATAACAAGTAAAAGTTTTGCTTTCAAAATTGTACTTAAGTAAAAGTACAGACTTATTATCAGCAAAATAATTGAAGTGTAAAATTAGATGCAGAGTGACTTTGTCAGTGTTATTATCATGATATTTTATTATTGTTGCTTATGCAACAATGTGTAAGCAGCCTTTTAATGTTGTAGCTGGTATTTCAACGTTTTAACACAAAGTTGAATCTATAACAATGAATAATTTTTAATGAGGTGATAATATGTTTGTGATATAAAATGATTGTATGAAAAATCTGCAAACTAACTAGTAACTAAAGCAGTCAGATAAATGCAGTGGAGTGAAAATAGAAATACTCATGTTAAGTACAAGCATAAAAAAGCACAGCACTTAAGTACAGTGTACTTATATTTCTAGCTCTACTAAATACCAACCTATATGAAAACACTGTATGTATTTAGCTCATTGTTCAGCAACCTTCCATTTTTCAGTTGCTGACAGGAGCAATTACCATCTCATGCTGACCCGTACACATGCATGCCTGTCTCGCTAACAATGTTGTTTACAACAAGTGCAAATCCAGGCTGTGTATGCAGCAGAGTTGGCCCAGAGCGGTTGTTACTGGGCGCCAGCATAGCGCCACATGTCAGGCTGAGAGAGAGGGAGAGGCCGTCTAATCCAATGAATGGACAGTTATTAACGAAAAGGGAGCAGAAGAAGAAGGCAGGTGGGGAGAACGCTTTGCCTCAGTGGACCTCAGTAATCCTGACTTCATTATTGTTGTACTATGTGTTGCATGAAGAGACAGCGACAAGCTCTCACACTCTTTTCTATTCCCTCTGCGTGCATAGCAGCACTGCTTAAACTCTCAAAGTGACTGCCCTAATGTGCTACTTCACTGCCCCTTATTCATGCCAGCACACTCAAATGACTTGGCAAGCAATGTAAAAAAAAAAAAAAAAAGTTCTGCATGTTGCATATTCTGGCTATATTTCATTCTCAGCTTATCTGAAAGAAAACAGAATGTTCCAAATTAAAAATGGTGTTTTCGCGTAGACATAACTTCATCTGATCCTGCAAACTTTACTTTTCCACTGTCAAAGAGAAAATAGCAATAGACTGACTGAGGTTTTGCATACAACACATTTGTAAAGCAGATACAGCTTTGAAGTTATATGTGAAGTACAGGTGGTAGTGGTTCAGTGAAAGCAAAACTGCATTGTCCTGCTTTTGTTGACAGAAACCTCTCCATCTTTTCTTTCTTTGTGTCCTTGTCTACTTCTGTATATCACTCTGGTTTAGGACGGAGCTCACTATACATCATCCTGTCCACCGGGGGCATATTCCTCCTAATCACCCTGGTGACAGTGTGCGCTTGTTGGAAACCATCCAAGTGAGAGCTACTTTTTCTTCTTGGCCCTCTTTCCCCTTTTCTCTCTCTCCCCC